GGGGGGGGGGGGGGGGGGGGGGGGGGGGGGGGGGGGAGCGCGCAGCAGCGGCGGCGATGGCGGTTCCTTGGGTCGCGGCGGCGGAGGCGGAGGTTTCCCCGGAGCGGCTGGCCGAGGTGGAGGCTCTGCTGGCGGAGCGGGTGTCGGAGCCGGTGCGGGCGCGTTGGCGCTGGGAGGTCAACCTGGGCCAGCCGAACCTGCAGCGGTTCCGGGCGCAGCTGAGCGAGGCTCGCCGAGGCAGGGACGCCCTGCTGGCCCGGGGCGCAGCACTCTCGGAGGCGGAGCAGCAGCGGCTCCAGGGTTTCCTGAGGCTGGAGATGGCGCTGCTCCGTTGGTTCCAGGCGCGCGCCGAGCGCGAGGCGGCCCGGCGGGCCCGGCGGAGAAAGCCCGGCAGCGGTACGGGTGGAGCGGCCGCGCCTGCCGCGGGCGGCGGGGGATCTGCGGCGCCGCCGGCCCTGGCCAAGGAGGAGGAGGAGGCGCCGAGCGAGGACAAAGAGTCGCCGGTACCGGCCGAGCCAGCAGCCGCAGCCGCAGCCGCGCCCACCACTTCGGCGGAGAAGGTGACGGCTCTGCGGGAGGCGCTCCTGGGCGTGGTGGCGGAGCTGGAGGCGGCCGAGGGCCGGGGGCGGCCGGTGCGCGCCGCGCGGAAGCTGGAAGTGGCCCTGGCGGCGTTCCTGGACGACCAGCTCTGGGAGAGCCTGCGGGAGTTGGGCCGGGCGGTGCGGAAGGAAGGGCGCATCCGGGCCCGGCAACTGCTGGCCCTGCGGGAGGCCCTGGAGGAAGAAGGCTGGGCCGAGAACGCCGATGCGTTGCGGAGGGAGCTGGAGGGGCTGCGCACCGGCCTTCAGGAGGCGTCGCTGGAAGGGCTACAGCCGATGCTGGAAAAGGCCGAGGCGCTGCTGCGGAAGACGGACTGCTGGGAGGTGGCCTGCCTGGAGAAGGGCTTGTGGGCAGGCCGTCTGGAGGAGGCTGAGACGGCCCGGAGAGAAGCTGAAGCCTTTCGCCGGACCCTCCGGCAGGTGCCCCTGGGGCAGGGGGAGGCAGCCCTGCGAAGAGCTGCCCGGGAGGCGCCTGTGAAGGAGGCGCATGTCCTGTGGAAGAAAGCGGCGGCCCTGGAGACGCAGGTGCTGGCATTCTGGTCAGACACGCTGACGCAGGCGGAGGTGCTGCTGGCCCAGGTGGACTCCCTGAGGAGTGCCCTGCAGAACTCCTCCCTAAAGGAAGCCCTCTGGGAGAAGGTGGAGGAGCTGCAGGATGCCTTGCGGGAAACCACCAGGGAGAAGGTCGGCCTCCTGCCCTTGGACATTTGGGGCAAGAGCCCACGGGAGATGTGCAGCCGCCTGTATCAACTCTGCCAGGATTGGCTGCAGCCAGAGAAGAAGACCAAGGCACAGATGCTGGACCTGGTGATCCTGGAGCAGCTGCTGGCCGTGCTTCCTGCAGAGATGGCCAGCTGGGTGCGGGAGTGTGGAGCGGAGACCAGCGCCCAGGCGGTGGCCTTGGCCGAAGGCTTCCTGTTGAGCCAGGCAGAGAAGCAGCAGCTGGAAGAGCTGCAGGTGAGAGAACACCCTCTCTGAAGCTATGCATTAATCAAGAATATCTTTGAATTGAGCATTTTCTCCATTTTTCCCCAGAATATGTATTTGGGCCACTTGCTCCATTGTTCCATCTTGTTATGATATGTACAAAATAACCCTTGATTAACAGGGATATGCACATGGAAACGTTTATTAGTTATGAATTATTCATTCATAACTATTCAGCCACACACAGATACACTAAATTGAGTTAAAGTTTACTTTAAGAAATAGCACAGGCCAATAAACGTTTTACAGTCCAAAGAATATCCAATTACAAAGTCTTCTTACTTGTTGCCTTTGTCATTTCCAGTAAACAAAAATATCAAAGTATAAGCACAACAGAGCACCTTAGATAGCAACAGAATGTCAGAGAGACAGAATGTCAGAGAGAGCAAGCCATGATCTCTAGCTCCCTCTTATGGCAATTTACAATACAATCAACCAATTGGAATCAATACAGTGATTTTGTCTTAAAGCTACCAACATACATTGTTGGTTTATATATTGCCAACCCAACTAATTCATGGACAGATTCCTAACACATCTGCATCAAGGGGTTGCAGAGTCTGCAAAGTTGAGAAATTTTATCTGAACCTTCATTTCTCTTTTCCATCTCCAGGTACGTCAGATGCAGCAGCCCTTTCTGGAAGCCATCCCGAGGCATCCTAAAGGGATCAAGGATCTGTCATATGTCTCTCAACAGCTGCCTTTCAGGGAGATCCCCCAAGAAGATCCAGGTTGGGACACCTCAGGAGGTAAAGGGAGTCTTTCAAAGGAACCTGACATTCTCAAGAAATATCTCAATGTTCTTCACGTAATATTTGAAATTCTGCTTTAGTTCAGTGAAAGTCCCATGCAGGAAATCAAATTATGCCTTTGCTGTTTCTAGGATCATCACCTTTTCCTGGTGGAACTGAAAGAATGGCTGAACCTCCAGTTCAGGTAGGAGAGAAACATTTAGGGGATCACTTGGGGTCCCCTTTCCCCCTGGGACTCAACAGCATTACTGCTCTTTAAGCAGCCTGAAATGGAATGTGGCAGAATTAATTAGGAGATCCCTTTCAAGTCATGCTTGCTCTTATCAACTGGCACAGGGATCCAAGAGTGGTATCCAACCCTGGGGGTGGTTGGTGGCTGAAGGATGTTCCCTCCCTCTTTTTAACTCTTTGATCTTGTCTTTTTTGTATGGATTGCATAGTTTCTTATCTGTAAACTGCCCAGTCACTTTAATAGTAAATATTTATAATTTGGGTTAATAAATCATACCAGACAAACAATCAGAAAACAATACTGTGATTCAGGAGCTGTCAAGAGGAAACCATCCCCCTCCACCATCCAACACTGGCCAGGCAAGGTACTGTATAAAAACAGAGAGAAAACCTCACTCACTTGTGTTGATAATGTTGTCTAGCCAGGTAATGAAATGACTGCTAGCAAACGGCTCGGCTCAGCACTGAGCTACATATATTCTTTTTTCTTAGACTACTATCCATGCCCAATCTTTGCTTGGGGAATTTGTTGAACAAAGGGTATGAGATGCAAAGCCTTCCTGGATGACTAATGAAGAAAAGTTTTTTTTCCCCTTCATTTTCCAGGGTCTTGTATCCTTTGAGGAGGTGGCTGTATGTTTCTCCAAGGAAGAGTGGACTCAGCTGGATCCCCGCCAAAAAGCCCTCCATGGGGAAGTCATGAGGGAGAACCTGAGGAATGTGGCCTTCCTGGGTAAGGGCACAGGCAGGTACAAAAGGCATTTTGTGGAACCAGCTCTCTGGCCTAAACTCAACCACACCTTATATCTGAGAGAAGGAGAAGATAGACTCTACAAAAATTCTCCTCTGCTGGTTCTAAGACACCTTTCACTGAAGCACAGACTGGTTGAGGGACAGTGCTGGAGGCAGAGATGGGCCTATAAAGGGGAGGGGCTACAGCCTCCCTTTGTTGACTAATTAAAACTGATCCTTGTGATTGGACAGAGCAAACTGGATACAGCCTAGCGAAGTCAGGCGTAACTCTGAGGTTATGGGGCTGGACTATACAGACATAGTTTTTTAATAGATCAAAGAGATACTTTTTTCCTAGCGGGGTACTATCTTCTGCCGTGCAGAGCTCTACTTGCTTCTCAGGATCTTTTCTTGACTGATAAAAACATTACTTGGCCTTGGTGTTTTATGGCTGAGCTGAGAGTTTTAGCTTTCCTGGGAAAGTGTTTTTTTGTAATGAAAGTAAAACACCACATACTTTGACACCACATAGTGAGCAGTGCTTTGTTTGTCCTGGAAACATACAGGACTTCAGATTGTTTTCCATCTAAAACAAGAACTTGGTGGTAAGAAGAGAATGTGTGGGGAAAGATACCTAGTGCAGAATAAAGAGAAATTCATCGATAGCAAGAGGCAAATATACTAACCCAACGTGCAGAATTGTAGATAAATGGCTTTTAAAACTGTTTCTACTACCCATGAAATATAAATTTCCATCCCATGCAAATTTATACCAATAAAATTGATAGGAACCTGCAACAAGTCTCTAAATTTGATAAGCTTTAATTCAGATTGTTTTATGTAGGTCAGAATAGCCTATAAAAATATTACCAAGGTTTTTGGGATTTGCAGGATTGGAATTCTCAATCATGTTAACATGTTCTTGGTGATTTTTTCCCCCTTCTGTGAGTTTTAAACACATACTTTTTTCTTTCTCTCTGAAGATACTGTTGGGCAAGGGAATGTGTG